GGGGCCGGGCAGTGGTTAGGGAAGGATAGGCTTCTAGGCAGGTGCTAAGTGCACATCTGAGTGCTGGATAGGAAGGCATCCTGCAGACGGGAAAGAGCTCTGCTCACAGTCTGTTTACACTTGGCACAGGCCACCGGCCCCTCAAATCCCACCCAGCACTTGGACACATGCAAACGCTGCTTCCCCCACAAAGCCCTTCCAGTCTCGCTCCCCACTTTTGAACCCCTAGAGCAAGAATACTTCCTATGTCCTGGTTCTCGACGTTGGTGTACTCATCCATTCCCCATTGCTACAACTGAGGTCCCGGTGTCGCTTCTCAGGGTGCCTGGCACACAGCCTCCAGCTAGGAATCCTTGGCTGAGCTGACTGGACCTGGCGAGGTCCTCTCTAACGTAAGCCTCACAATCTCTGTCCCGTTGTAAACACCATGGTCTCAGTGTGATCACACAGACAGATCCCAGAAGGATTAAACCAAGGTTGAACCGTGTTCCTACATCTCTCCCTGCAGCTTTGTTCTCCGCATGTTGCCCTTCTAAGCAAGAACACATATGAAGGGTAGACCCTTTTTCTTTATAGAAAATGGCCTTGGTGAAGGTTCTCGTGAGAGGGAAAGTGACGGTTCTTTGCCAAAAAGTTTTGTAACAGTACAAGAGGCATTTTTGAATTCAGTGATACCTGAAGGTCTTGAGATGAAGGGTCAAGGGTCTATCTCTGGCTGAGCACTGTTGGAATTTGGGGCCAGATTCTTCTGTTGTGGGGCTGTCCTGTGGATTGTAGGATGTTTAGTAGCATCCCTGGTCTCTACCCACTAGGTTCTAGTACTCCCCAGCCTCGTGCCTGTGCTGGGATGATCACAAACGTCTCCAGACGTTGCCAAATGTCCTGGGATATGGGGGGAGAGGGGCAAGACTGCCACCGGCTGAGAACACTGCTGATAAAGACATAATCCCAACAGAAACTTCAAATAAGTCTCAGCGAAAAAGACCTTTAAAGGGCGCCTGGGTGCAGTCAGTTGAGTGTCTGACTCTTGATTTTGGCTCAGGTCACGACCTCAGTCAGTTAAGTGTCTGACTTGGTTTTGGCTCAGGTCACGATCTCAAGGTTGTGGGACTAAGCCCCCACATCAGGCTCCGTGCTGGGCATGGAGCTCTAATAAAAATTAAAAATTTTTGATTAAAAAAAAAAAAAACACCCTTAAGAACTTTACAAAAGGAGTTAACTGGGATACGTGCTGTTAGCAGTTAGGAGCAGAAATGGGCAGTCACACTTCTCTTGCACTACTGACATTCTTTAGTTTCAAAGGGAGTACTCTGGGCCTAGGGGGGCTCAGGGAGCCCTGTAGGATAACATGAGATGTCTTCACCTTCCTGGCAAGAGTTAAGCCCTTCTGACCTTCAGCAAAGGTGTCAGCGAGGACCAACCAGGAGTAGACCAGAGCAGGAAGCAGATCTGAGCTAAGCCACAAGCCAGGTCAAAGGTAGTTGTGGGGCAGGAGGAAGAGGAAGGAGACGTTCTCTTCTGCTGGTTACCTGACGGTTCTGTGGGGACAGCCTCGTGGAAAGTGTGGCCAAAAGCAGAATAAAGCCCCGCTGCAGGCTAAACCGTCTCCTCCCCTTCTCCACTCTTCCTCGGGATGGGGGACCTGCTCCCCTGTGCTCTAGGGACGTCAGTGCAGCATTCCTGCTGCCTTACCTAATGCCCGGCGGCCTCACCCCCAGATGTGCACGAGGCAGGAGTTAACGGTGGTTTCTGCCCGCTTCCCCAATGACACTTGTCAAAGGAAACAGAAGGCCAAAGAGATGCGGAAGCAAGAGGCCTGTCCTTCGAAAGCAACAGCAACGATCTTTGGCAACACTGGCTGGCAGGAGGGGCCCTTGGCCACGGACCCTTGTGCAGGTGGTAGCCCACTGCATCCTCTATTTGGATCACACAATCCCCACAGTCCTGAACCACTCCTGGTCCCCGTAAATAGGGAAACAGACATGCCTGTTCTGAGATCGCTTTGACGAGGTGGGGGTGGCATGTGGGCCTGAACCGTGTTCTGAATCCGGCACTCTCCTTGAGAGGGCCTGACAGGTAAGTCCTCTGAGGCCAGTCTGCCGAGTACAGGTATTTTTATGCAGAACAATGCCAGCTAAGGCAAACATCCCTAACACCCGCGAAGCAGAAAAGACCTGACAACAGGGCAACACAGAGGTAGGGAGAGGCTCTGTGTTGCGAATAACCCAAGTTATGGGCTGATGCACCTTTGTGAACCAAGTAAGTGCTCAGTGTCTCGGTTTCCCAAGACCTCGAGAGCGGGTCATGCCTGTCCTGCGCGGAGCAGGGGATTCGAAGCCATGTCCGCAGTGGAGGGAGTTCCACTGCTTTTCTGGGCTCTGCCGATGGGGAGCCTTATGCCCTTCTCCTGGTCTCACAAGGGATCAAGAACCTCTCTCCCAGGATGGCAGAGTCAGGGGAAAACTCAGGAAAGAGGCATGATCTCTCCTCAAACCCTGACCGCTAACTCCTGCCTAATACCACCCCACCACCGCCCATCTCTTCCCATCTCTCTCCACCGGTAGGCTAAGAGGATGCAAGCAGTTGTTTATGGCAAATGCCCAGAGTAGGCCCTCAAACAAAACCAATCACACAGGAAAACCGGGGGTGGGAAGCAGAACCCACTGAGGCCTTCAGGCCTACTGCCCAATTTCCTGTGGGTATATGCCGACGTGTGAAATGATTATGTGAAGTGGAGACACACAAGAAAGTGAGCATATCAAAATATTTTCCTTTTCAAAACTCAGTGTAACTCATTTTCTCATCTCTAAGCGTACAGATGCTCTGAGAAGCAGCAGGAACTTTTATGGACAATATGGACACTTCACTACTGATACCAGGAGGAGGCTGTGAGCTGTTACCCAATTCCTCAGATGAAAGGACCACAATGAGATTCAGTCCAAAGTTCAAGAAAGACTTCCCTCGATAAATTATGGAGGGGAAGGAGGCTCTTTTAGTGCTACACACAAAAGGCACAGATCCAGTAGGAACACTCTGGTGTGAAAATGGCTTTTTGCCAGCTATTTTCAGAGATGCTTATTTATTTCTTTACTTATTTGAGAGAGATAGCATGAGTGGTGGAGGGGCAGAGAGAGAGGAAGAGAGCATTCCAAGCAGGCTCCACACTGTCAGCACAGAGCCTGATGCGGGACTTGAACTCACAGACTGTGAGATCACCACCTGAGCCGAAATTAAGAGATGCTTAATTGACTGAGCCACCCAGGTGCCCCTCAGAGATGCTTCCTTATCCATCACACCACAGCTCGAGGGTCTGGGAAGCTAGCAGAAACAAAGCAGGGATTCCACAGGTTAGGTCGATCTAGAAAGAGGACTTTTGCTACTTAAGGCAGTGCTGCTTTTCCCTGGGATACTTAGTAGCAACATGAGTCAATCACGTGATTATTCCAATCCTCCAGCTAGGTATCCAGGCAAGAGGACTCTGATGTAACCACGACCAATCTTTTTATTACACAAGGAAGATAAACTGGGTGTACTGGTGGGAGGTGGGGGCGGGGGGTAACGCAGACCCAACACAGTAAGAAATCAGTCCTTCTAATTGTTCTAATTACAGACTCCAGCAAACTGCACTTGGAAGTCTCTGCTTTCTCTGCCTCTTACGCCATCCGAGACCATAAAAGCTGCACAACTTACAACTCAGCTGGCAACCAAAGTACTTTCAAACTGCTGAGATGAGCAAACCCAGAGTCAGCAGCTGTCAATCACCATCTACCCACAGCAGCACAGCCCGAAAGTTTTAGTGGCCCCGGCATAAATATCGCAAGGCGTGAGCAAGTCAGTTTTGTTTCCTTGACCACTCTGACCAGCATCTACCACGTGAGCCAACTCCCATCACATGCTCTGAGCCAGGACAGGGGCAACGTGGCTCCTGCTGAATGGAGTTCCCCACCCTGGCTTTCGCCAGGGTCCAAAAGCAGCGGCAATCGCTAGTACAGTCGAGGAAGCACCGTGCTTCTCTAGGAGCCGGTGGCAACCATGTGGGTAAAACTCACGTAGGGAGAATAGAGCTCCCCGGTCTCTGTGATTTCTCCCGCCATTTCCAAAAGTGAGGAAGGGTCGGTGGGCAGCCGAGTTTCCTTAGGTTTCTTCTCTTTCCGCGGGCTCCTGTGGCTCCCTAAGGCAAAAGAGCAGACTTCAACTTTCTGATAGACCTCGATGGGGGTGGGGGTACTTCTGGATGGCGCCCCTCCCCCAGCACTTTTATTACAGACGTGGCCTCAACATCTGCCATGAGAGACAGCCCTAGATGACTGACACCAGGGTGGTTTCCTCGAACTTCTTCCTCGCTGTGCGGGGCATGAATGCATCCAGGGCCGCTCAGACTCCAAGTGAAACGAGGAGACCCACAAGCCACGAAGTCTCCCCCACCACAAGCGCCCCCTTTGCACACTCTGAGGTGGCTATCCACGTTTGATGTCAGGAACAGCGAGCTCGCTACCACACACGGCAGCCCAAATAACTGTCACCTCCGCCTAGGGCAACAAACTGGGGGCTTTTCCAGGTCGCCTCCCAACCCAACTCCTGGTCCCCAAACCTCTCCTTTGGAACGAGTCCTCCATTCCCCGCCCCCCCGCCACCTGTATTTTGCCCTGCCTCTGGGCTCCCCAGCCTCAAGCCTCCCCCTCTTCTCAAGAGCCCCGCTCCGAGCCTTTCCCCGACTTATGTCTCCCCCCGGAGGGGCCCCGAGTCTGGCGCCGCCCCAGCCCATCCCATCCCACCCTCCCGCCGGACACCTGCACGGCGGCTGACTCCCGGCCGCCGCCTCCAACCCCTCCGCTGCCGCCGGCGCCAGCTGTCCCGCACCAGCGCGCGCAGCGCGCATGCGCCCGCGTTCGGAGCCCACCTAGCCCGTGCGCGCCCTGGGCGGGGCGCAGCGCGCTGATTGGGCGCCTTGCGGAGGCGGGACCGGGATTGGGCCGGGGCGGCTGCCGTCTGCGTGGCGGAAACCGGGGAGGGGCGCTCCCACGCGCGTGCGGGCTGGGAGGCCGCGGGCCGGTGGGGAAGCTGGGCTTGTCTCAGGAGGCGGATCGCCCCCTCGGGTGGGGACGCTTTCTTCGGCGGGGAGTGGGTGTGTGTTGAGCCGTCTGGGACCCCGGTGTTGGGGGGTGGGGGTGGGGAAGGAAGGGATCGAGGAGAGTAGCCCACAGGTCCACCCTAAGGGGAGGGGAGTGAGAATTTAAGTCTGCCTCACACTAAAGGAGCCTAATTAGGCTTGGCTTGGTGGGTAGGGAGGAGAGAGGGCCCGAGTCAGGTGCGGGGGGGGGGGGGGGGGGGGGTCGCTGGGAGAAGGGGTTGGAAATCGGCTTAAAGCGGGGTTGAAAGTTGATCGTGGGACCGAGTGTCAGGACTGGGGCGCGTGATGGGAGCTTTGGGGTTAAGTGTCGGTACTTGAGCTCCTGGCTTCCATGTTCGGCCTGGTGGGACACGCAGACATGGCAGCTCAGGCTTAACCCCCTGAGATGCGATTCAAGAATTGTTTAATTATCTTTAACCAGCCCGCTTCCCCTTCTCTCAAGGGGTCTAGAGTCGTGTTCTCTGAAGTGTTTGGAAGGAAAGAAGGACCAAGGTTCTTCTGACAGCTTAGCCCCCGGGAGACATTCAGTGAACTGAAGGCTCAGGGCTCCCACGCTAAGTGGGAGGAAACAAGGTCCTGAAGTGCTTGCCCTCCCCACCTGCAGGCCGCTACCATGAGATTAAATGAGAACATCTTGCTGCTGGGAAAGAAGGTGGTGCTGGTACCCTACACCTCAGAGCACGTGCCTAGGTAAGGGTCCACCTAACATGGGGTGCAAGCCAGTTCTCCGAGGTGCAGCCAGGAGGGCCTCCCTTCCTTAGCCCCGACCTCAGAGGCTATTTCCTCTAAGAAGGAGAAGCATCATCGCTTGGAGCAGTAATGACAGAAAAAAGTGGATGCTGAAGCAGAGGAGGACGACTTCCCTTCAAGTTACTCATCCCCCGCTTTTCCCTTTCATCCTCCCAGCTTCCTTTTTGGACTTTCAGCAAGGAATTTTTTTTTTTTAATTTTTTTTTTCAACGTTTATTTATTTTTGGGACAGAGAGAGACAGAGCATGAACGGGGGAGGGGCAGAGAGAGAGGGAGACACAGAATCGGCAACAGGCTCCAGGCTCCGAGCCGTCCGCCCAGAGCCCGACGCGGGGCTCGAACTCCCAGACCGCGAGATCGTGACCTGAGCTGAAGTCGGACGCTTAACCGACTGCGCCACCCAGGCGCCCCAGAAGGAATTATTTAAAGTGAATGTGTGTAAGAAAAGAAGGAACTGCCCAATTGTAAATGAGTGACGTTCTTCCGGCGTCAGTGAATATGCTCCGTTCTTGAAGACTTAATGTCAGCTTGTCATAAAACTGAGCTGATGGGTTGTTCTGATGTCTACTGTTTTTAAGAGGCCAGAACTGAGTGGCAGGGTCAGACTCGTGTGTGTGTGGCGGGGCGGGGGGCGGTAATTGGCAATTGACAGATGTAGACTGGGATGGTGCGGATGTGGGGGTGTATTCTCTATTTGCAGTTTTTCTTTTTGGGGGTTCCTGTGCTCGGCCTTTGTGGAGATCTGTCCAGCCTTCCTTACTGAGGTCAGCCTGCTATATACACTTCCACTCAGGAATTTGAGGAATGTGTGAGTTCAGACTGCTCCCCCGCACTGACCCCTGAGACCAGATGGGAAGCTGGACAGACAGAACTGATCCCTCCTGCTGCTCTCTTGTAGGACCAGCCTGCTTCTGGGTCTTGTGCTGGTGGCTCTCTGTCTTAGGAACTACTGTGACCCTTTCCTTGGGTCTTTTATGAGCCCTGTGTTAGCCTTGTGGGCCTCTCTTTTCTACCAATTTCCTCATCTCATAAAATGTCAGGCCCGTGCTTCTGAATCAGTCCTGCATGCCGAAGGTCATCCCCCTGTCCCTGCAGGTACCACGAGTGGATGAAATCAGAGGAGCTGCAGCGTTTGACAGCCTCTGAGCCCCTGACCCTGGAGCAAGAGTATTCGATGCAGCAGAGCTGGCGGGAAGATGCAGACAGTGAGAAGCAGAAGCCCTGTGCTGGCTCCAGAGGCAGTCTCCTGGCTCCCTCTCTCCCTTTCTCATTCCCAGCTGTAGCCCTTCCAGGGCCACAGAAACTTTGTGAAAAGCCCTTCATGAAAAACCCGGAAAGTGCCTGAAACTGTCATACTCTTATGCCCACTGAAGCCAGTCCCCGTGGCTGACGCTTCTGTCTTCTTCCCCACTCACTGCATCAGGCCTGGGAGAGAGAGTAAAGCATTTGGGGCTCTGGCTGTAAATTGAGGCCCTGCCCCTCACATCTCTTGCACAAACCCAGTTGTGGTTACTGCTCCCTGAGAATACAGCTGCTGTTCAGGGGAGACTGTCTTTTCCCACGTGAGGCAAATTTAGGGCTTTGTAATCTGCTAAAGGGAGCTCTGGGCCCCTTTTTCTCCCGGTGGACAGAGGCGATGTTCTGCAGCTCTCTGGTTTGGGTGGGAAGACTGTCGTTACTCCCCTGCTTTGGGGAGTGGAGGCGATAACCCTGTCGCCTCCCTCCTCAGAATGCACATTCATTGTGCTGGATGCAGAGAAGTGGCAGGCCCAGCCACGCACCACTGAAGAGAGCTGCATGGCGGGAGATGTGAACCTCTTCCTCACAGATCCAGGGGACCCCTCCTTGGGGGAGATTGAGGTCATGATTGCAGGTTTGTTCCACCTGGCCCTGCCTTCCCTCCCTTCTGGCCCTCGATCTGCTGAACCGTAAGCCAGCTGGGGCTGCAGAGGGTCCTCAGCTCAATGGAAGGTTCCACGTTAGTAAGCCCAGCACCTAGTGGCTCACCCGTGGAGGTTTCCTTTATTCCCATGTTATGCTTAGATGCGAATTTAACCTTTGGTTTGGGGGTCTTCCAACTTCATCATGCCCCATCCTTGCTGGGGGGGGGGGGGGGGGACTGGGCACTGGGGACCCTCCCAAAATAAATGAGCATATCTGGAGCATCTTCCCATGCTGTGGGAGGAGCCCCTCTAGTTTCTGTCCTTCTTGGTCCACGGCCTTTCCCCAAAACTGTCCTGAGGCAGCACACTGAGGTTAAAGGGTCAGCTTTGGGGTCAGGTTGCTGGGGGTCTCTAAGCTGTGAGCGCTTGTGCAGGTCATTTTAATTTCTGTGTCTGTATTCTTATCTGCACAATGGTAATAATAGTACTGTGTAGGGCTGCGAGGGATGAGATGAGGTTTTAGCTGTCCAGGACCTGCGGTGGAGCCTGGCACACAGCATCAGTGACTATCATTGTTTTTCTTAGAGCCCAGCTGCAGGGGCAAAGGCTTTGGCACCGAGGCTGTTCTCATGATGATGTCTTATGGTAAGGAAGTCTGAGCAGACACTGGGAGAAGTGGCCAGGCCCAGGTGAGGGTGAGGGCACATGAGGGCATGTTGGGAGTGGGCCTTCTCCAGGCCTGAGGGTGGGGGTGGGGGGGCAGGTGACAGGTGCCTCCAAGGCAAAATGGGACAGGAAGGACAGGAGGTGTGTGTGGGAGGGGGGCTTCACCCTGTGGCTTGTCCCTCTCTTTTGATCTTCTCTGGGAGGAGTGTCCAAGCTAGGTCTGACCACGTTTGAGGCTAAAATTGGGCAAGGAAATGAACCAAGTATCCGGATGTTCCGGAAGCTTCACTTTGAGCAGGTAAGGATGTCACTGGTGGGAGGGTGAGGCCTGGGCGGTGAGCCCCAGTGGTGCTAGAGCTCATAGCTGTAACTTAGCTGGCTCTGCTCTCTCTGGTTCACATAGGTGGCTGTGAGTAGCATCTTTCAAGAGGTGACGCTCAGACTGACAGTGACTGAACATGAGCGGCAGTGGCTTCTGGAGCAGACCAGCCATGTGCAAGAGAAGTGCTATAGAGATGGGCTGTCAGAGTCCCGTTGACCCCTGACCTTGCGGGCAGCCACCCTCTGTGAATGGGGGTGGTGGGACCACGCAGTCCAAAGGAGGTGAACCTTTGGGGCAGAGTGCTTCTACCTCCATCTAGCCTGGGAGCCTCCTTTTGGGGCCCTTCAGATTCTGGGCTGGACTTACCTTGGCCTCCCTCAGGCTGGCAGTGTGGATGAACTGCTCCAGGGCTGGCCAGGAGAAACCTGGAGTGGGCTCTCGGACCTGGAGTGGACAGCACGAATCCATCGGAGGCAGGGTGGATGTGGGAACAGAGGTGAATGGGGGCCTGGTGAACGGCCAGGACGCCCCCTTTCCCTTGGAAGGGCAGAGGCGGTGCCCTGGAGCGGAGGCCCTGACCTGGAGTAAAGCGTACTGCACGGCACTTTCCCCTGCTTTCTCCTTGGGCCTCAGTGGTGAGCCACCAGAAGGTCCAGCCTGCAGCGTCTAGTCCAGCGTGGTAGGATCAGGGCAGGAGGAACTCAGTCTGCTTTTGTCCTGCAGAAGTAGGCTAAGTGTGACCCCAAGAAGTTTGGAAGTGAACGAGCTAGGCCCTGAAAAACAGGAGGCTTGGAAAGTGAGCATGTGTCCTTTGTCCTTGCTGCTTCTCTTTGGACCCAGGAGTGAGTTTTGGATGCAGCTGCTTGTGGCTGAAGCACCGCTCTGTTGAAGCCTGGAGCCTCTGCTCAGTTGCAAGGGCTGCAGGAGGAAGCAGAAGCCACTTAGCGGTACCTTCCTGAAGGTACCTGTGATCTCTTACTCTCCACCCCTCGCTTCTCTGCCCCCGGGAGCAGCTGCACCTGACGGAGCCACAAGGAGGCGCCAGAGGCACAGGTTCGGGACCGCCAGGCTGCCTGGTGCTTTAACAGGCAGAGAGGGAGGGGGTGGGGGCTGGGGGAACGCCCCTGGATTCCTAACTGTCCAGTCATGATCTGCGGTGGTTATCAAGGCCAGACACGTTTCAAAACAGTCACGGAAGAGACCCTCAAGGGTAGCTAGGGTATTCCCAAGGGGAGGAAACCTACAGGTGAATTGCAGTGATTTGCTCAAGGTGTCGGAGCATTTGATGGCAGAGCCACAACTACTGCTGAGGCCCTCAGTTCCCAGTCCCCTTGATCCTGGTGAATCCCACTAGAATCTGACTGCATTTGGAAGCCCCCTTTGTACTGTGTCCGGCCCCTCAGTGGTAGGGAAGGGGGTAGGAGTTCTGGCCTTCAGCTTAGTCAGAGGCCCCCAGGGCTTCCCTACTCAACAGGTGAGATAGGGAGGGGTCCCTCCACTGCCCTGTGGGGCAGGCTTCAGGCCTTGCTTACCTGAAGGGACCTCGACATGGGCCAAAGGATAATGGCAAGGTTAGGAGGGGGCGAGCCAGACCCCAGGCCGTTGGTGCCGTGAAAAGGTTTGGAATGGTTTCTCTTACCACTGGTGGGACTCTAAGCCCTAACTAGAGACCAAGATGTCCAGATAGTGACTCATTCTTAACTCCCTTTGATTAGCTGTCTCTTGCAGCATCAACTTCTCTTCCTTCTCTGCAAGCACCAACCCAGGAGCCTCTGGGCCTGGCAGTGTCAGCCCTTGTGGGCCACTTTGGCAGGCTTCTGGGATGTGGCCTCAGGTGCCACGGGTGTAAGAGCCCTGGATCTTTTTGAGGAGGAGCAGGGCATTTTGCCCTTGGAAAGTCCCTTCCACCCCACCTGACACAGAGCATGTCCTGGGACTCAGTGGGCTGGGTTTGTTTTCCCCTAGTCCTGGAGAGCTGCCCTCCAATCCTGTCCACGGCCAGATAAGATAGAAAATCTGGTGCCAGCTCAGCCCACTCCAGGGGATCCTGCACCCCACTGGCTGAGTGGAAAGATCAAAGCCACGTCTTCTATTCCAAATGCAGCTCCATTTGGGATTCACAGTTTCAGCGCTCTTGAATTAAAACTGCATAAAGCCTTCTGGCTGTGTGGATCTTACCTCCCACTTCCTACAACTGTTTCTCTGGGGCAGGACTTGTGCAAAGCTCAGGCAGCTGCAGGGCCCAAGGCCCTCTGATTTATAGCTGCCCACATTCTGTTCCCTGGCCTGGAGTCAGAGAGCCCTGGACTGTCTTGCCGTCCAGCTGTACCCTACCCCGTCAGCCAGAGGCTACCCAGGGCTCTAAAGGAAGACGCAGAGGCCAAGGCGGTTTGGAAGCCAGTTGAATTTCTGATGGGAGTTTCCTTACAGTGGGGTGGCTGGGCAGGAGGTGGCCAGACCCTCCCCATGTTGCCCGGGGCTCCCGGTGGTGGGGGGGGGGGGGGGGCGGCGTGTAGTAGGAGCAAAAACAAAGTTTAAGGCTAAGGTTGCTGCTATATCCTGGATGCAACAACCTGGAAAATCATGTTAATCAAGGAAACAAAAATCCCTCTAAACTCTGTCTGTGGTACTGCACTCAAAAAAAAAAAAAAAAAAAAAAAAATCAAATGAACAAAAGTAAATGCCCCAGCCGCAGCTCTGAGAACGACGGGCCCCTGTCCATTCCACAGCGTTGCTGTAATCAGCAGTCCTTGATTAACCTTTGACTCATCACTTGGGGTCGTGAAAGAACAGGACCTCTTGCCTGTCCCCAGGTCCTTGCTTGGTATGGGTTTCACTGAGGTCCCAGGGGTGTGGTGAGGGCGCCCCTGGTAGGCTGAAGCACGCAGGAGACGCGGGCCAGAGTCTGCTTGCTGACTGGGGCAGGTTGGAAACATTGACCTTCCCCGAGGTAAGGGAAGAGCACGGTTCTCTAGAAAAATCAGATTCACCGATAGAGGAGGGATGCTGGTGCTGATTTGTGTGTAGATTAGGGAGGGGAGTGAGTGGGGAGGAGGGAGAGGGAGCTGGCTCGGGTGGGGCAGGGGGGCTGGCCCAGTCGCACCAGCTTTCCCTGGTGCCCGCAGGAGGACACTCAGAAGTTGCTGAAGAGTTCGTTTTTCTTGCTCCAGTCCATCTGCGGAGCCCGCTTGTTGCTGCGTTTCTGGTGAGCCCTCTCTTTGGCCACGGCCAGGGAGATGTTGAAGTCCAGGATGGGGTCAGAGGAGGAAGAGGTAGACGAGGGTGCTGTGGAGTCCTGTTTCCTGGGGCTGTCTTGGGAATTCAGCTGCAAAGAGGAGGGGGCGGCGGCGGCAGAGGGCCGGGAGTCAGTGCCTGGCGAGGCGTCCCGGTCCTCAGCCTCGGCAAGGTGGCCGGCTCCCTTGGGGCAGTGCCCAGGGAAGCCAGGTCACAAGAACAGAACGTGGCATAGCATGTGACCTCCAAGGCAGGCTGGCGTGCCAGGAACGAGCATGGCCTGGGAATGGGCTTCCCGTAACTCAGTGCCACCCTCTGCCCGCCCGCCCAGGCAGCCTACCTCCTCACTGGTATCACTGGAGGTGGATCTTGCCAGGGCTGATCTGGGGCTCTCAGATGCTACCTCAGCCAGGACTTCACGGCTGTTCTCCTGAAACAGAGAGGAGGGGTGTGGGTTGGCAAGGGATGGGGTGGGGGAGTCCTGAATAAGAGAGGAGCCCCCAGGGGAGACCGGTGTCCAGTCAGAGAAGCTCCCCTCAAACCTTTAACACCCACCCCAAAGCCCCACTGCCTGAGCCTGGCGGGGCCCCTCGGGGATTGACAGTTTTACATTCCTCTAAGGATCAGAGGGCAGCCTGGTTCCACCACCCAGGTGGGAGTGACCGTTGTAGGATTAGCGGAACTGCTCACACAGAACCCCCTCCCCAGCCCTCCCGAAGGAGCCTTCAGGGTTGACTAGCCTTTGGGGCCAATGACCATGGAGGGGCTTCATGGAGGGTAAGGCACAGAGAGCCTCCGCTTGGCACCGGGAACACATGTGATACTCCCTGAATTCCTTCTGGCCTACCTGTTTACTTGGACTTGACCCTAGGAATCTTGAAACCTTTACCCCAAGGTAACCAAGAAGGGCTTTGAAGGAATAAGGCTGATGAGAGTTCTAGGCCCACCGATGGGGTGACACAAAGTGCAGGTGGGCCCTGGGGGGGAGCCCTTGGGGAGGGGAGACCTTTCAGTAGACCCCGCAGAGAGCTCCAGCTCTGTGGTCTGACTCTGAGTCAGCCTGTCTCGGAGTGAAGGTCTTGGCCAAGGCTCCGACTTGGTGCTCAGCCTCTGCCTGGGTTCCTCTGCGGCCTCAGCTGGCACCAGGCCCCACCATCTCTTCCCCAGCCTCCACTGCCTTCTCTTCCCTTCCGCCCAGGGAGGAGGGGAGGAGGGGCTTTGTTCTTCCAACCCAGACTGGAAGCAGCAGGGCCCAGGCAGCGTGCGTCCAGACACTGAAGCTCTGTTCTTGGGGGGAAGAAAGGCCTCTTCTGTACGGTGGGGAGTTGGAGGCGGGGTTTGTCACCAGGATGGCGGGCTGCAGAGGGGCCCGGCCAGGCCTCTCTCTCTCCTGACTGCCCTGGCGCTAGGCAGGGGTTGAGGGGTGCGCCGGCAATTCTATAGCTTGGAGCTCAGAAGGGAGCAGCTTGGAAACGGGGGTTTCAACCTGAGCCACACAGCTGTCCCTGTCCCAACCATGCCACCTTCCACCCTTCTGCAGCCCCGCATGAGAGCCAGAGAAGTGTTAGAGGGCCTGCCTTTACCTTCCGGATCTCCCCATTGGTAAAGGGCTCGGGCAGGGGACCTACGGGAAGGAAAAAACAGCAGAGGTGAGTCCAGAAGCTCTGGGGAATGCGGACAGAGTGGTGCCTGGAGAGGAGGGAGAGCTTTGGGGTTTAGGCCATAATTAGACCTTGTTCCCTACGTCAGTGTTTAAGTATCTTGACTGCAACCTTCTACAAGTATGTCTGACTTTCTGGTGACCCAGCACACACACACAGACTACACACGTGTAACAGAAGTTTCACGAAACAACATTTCCCCTTCTGCTTCGTCAATGCTCTCCAATGTTTTTGATTCAGTTTCGTTCAAAGAAGTATGCTGGTCTCTGCTAAGTTGATCTCATGAACCACTGATGGGTAATGAGCTATTTGGAAAACCAATGTTCTAGATGGGGATAAAATTCCAGGCTGGCTGCCTAAGACCTGGGAAGCAGATCCCTGGGCCTTGGCACTAGGGCCTGATTCAGTGGGTCTGGAACGGGCCGAGGAATCGACATTTTTCAAATGGCTCCTAGGTAGTGATGCTGTCACCAGAATTGGAACTACACCCCAGGTTAGGGTTAGTACCTGCCTTGGCTGAAAGAGAAACTAATCCCACCTCGTGCTTGCCAATGTGAGGGCAAGGGGATGAGGGGGCTCAGGGCAGTGTCCTGAGTGTGCCCTCCCCCTGCCATGGGAAAACTGGTGGTGGCAGGAGGGGTCAGAAGGAGAGACACCAGCCTGGGGTCCCCGTTCCACCTCTGGGGACTGGTCAGCCTGGGTGGATTTCTTCTGAACTCTTCGTTTAACGTCATCGTGCATCTTTCCTGCTGGCCTGGACGGCAGGCACACCCGATTCTCATCATTTCCTCCTTGTTGCTACCCACGGCCTTCCCGCGATGGCCAAGCAGGGGATTGCTGGGACCCGGAGACACTCACTCTCCCACTCCCCCCATGCTGGCCCCTTCCCCACGAGGGCCAGGCTGTCTCATGTGGTCAGGAGGCAGCTGCTGGGAGGGGGGCATTCTTCTTGCGGACAGTTACACCCAGCGGGGAGGAGGAGGGCGGCCTGGAGACCGCAGGAGAGACACCTGGGGAGGAGACCTGCCCCCAGGCCTCTCCCAGTGCAGCTTCTCTGGCTCGAGGCTGCGCTCACAGTAGTTCTCGGGCCCATCCCACCCAGCCAGAGAGATAAGAAGAAGGAATGTCGGAGGGCTGATTTCTTAGGAGTAGGTGGGGGAAGGATGCCAGAGGCGGCAGGGGAAGGTATTGGAGGAGCCTCGTGGAATCCAGATTCCAGCTGTCTTCCCCAAACCGTGTTGCCAAGAGGAAGGCTGGGGCTTCTTGGGGCCTCAGTTTGCCCTCACTGAAGAAAGGAACTACCTGGGCTATCTGGTTTCTATGAACATGGGAAACAAGGGTGAGGCAGTGCCTGACCGCCCGTGCCTAGAGTCTGCAGGGGACTTCCACCTGACCCATCCCTGCTTCCAGGACCGCCCCCCCCCCCACCCCCACCCCAGGACCCACCTGGCCCCTCCACCTAGGGACAGGGGTCTGTGGCAGGACCTCTGAGTAGATCACCCTCCTACAAATAAAATCCTGACAGCCTGAGGGAGGCCCCACCCTCTGCAAAGTCCAAAGAGGTCCCACCTACCCTACACCCCCCTCCCCAACTCCCCCAGGAGCCATTTTCCCAGGGAGAAAGTCCAGACCAGGGAGTGAGGGTTGCTTAACTCCTCACTGCCCTCGGGCGGCAGGGTTGCCCGGTTTGGCTTGGACTTGGGCAGGGGGAGGTGCCAGGCTTGGCAGTGTAATATGGGGGATGGGGAGGGCAGGGGCCCAGGGACCAAGGAGGGACCCACTGCTCTCTAGAGCCAGCGAGCCTGGGTTTCCAAGACAACCTGAGAGAAGGGAGGGGAGGCACTGGGCCCCTGTCACTGGACTCTGATCTGACCAAGCGGAGCTGGAGTTAACCCTTCCCTTGCGGCAGCACTGCCTGGAGAACCTGCGAGGGGTGCGGGGATGGGGGGCTGAGGCTTCCCTCTGGTGCTGCTGCTCTGGCCTGGGAATGAGTGCCTCTGTCCCGTCTCGCCGTCCCTCATGCCGGCCTCACCCTGTCATATGCCATCCTCAGAAAGCCACTGCCATCCCCGCTTCCTCTCCTGACACCAGGCTCCTTTCCCAATCTCCACCTTTGGCCCCCCCCTGAAGGAGAGGGAGGGAGCTGAGGCAGGAAGCTGCCCACCCCTCCCCTGGGACACAGTAAAATCTAGAGCACTGGCCAACATCCTTGATTTGGGGGCCTCCGGCTGCCCCACCCAGCTCACCGTTCAGATGCTCCTGAG